CCACGCTCACGCGGCCCCCGTGCCAAAGGCCAGACCGAGATACTCCCTGTCTTCCCTTAAGACATCCCTCTGGTCACCACCTTTTCTATAACACAGACACCTTTTACTTTCGCGGTCAGAAAAGCAAAAAGTTAAAAGGAACTGTCACTTAAGTCAACATTCACAAGCCTCACTGGCAGGTTTGTGACAAAGCCTTCCCCTGCCACGGACAGACGTGCTGGAACCTTCAGCTGGCAAAGCCACAGGATGGACATCTGCGTCCCAAGGGGAGCACGCGCCAGCCCCGGACGCGCAGGCCGCCTGCGTGGCACTCGCAGACCAGGCGGGTGGTCACTGCTCCTGCTCCGCTCGCCGGCTCCCTCCCTCCCCGGCCTGCTCACCCCGAGTCCCAGGAACCAGCTCCAAGCCTGGCAGGGGCTCGGCTGCCACCCAGGAAAAACATGTTGAGCGAACAAGGCGCCCCGAGGCCCTCCCCGGCTGGACGTTCTCCGAGACGTCACGTCTCTCCTGGCTGCCCCGAGTGCGACCTGAGCCGCGACCGGCCCCACCTGCAGCTGTTACCTGCAGCTTCCTGGCCATGGCCACCACCTCGTGGTCCGGAGGGTTGTACTTGTAACAGTTCGAGAACATTAACCGGATGTCGGCAGCGAAGCCCTGTGCGTCCGGGTACTCGCGGCTGTCCATCTTCCTCTGTAACACAGCGACAGGGTGCGTGAGCACAGCCCGCGCCCCAGCGCTCCGGCCAGACCCCGCCAGAACGACCTCGGGCTCCTCAGCCGTGCACCGCCAGCCAAGGGCGGCGCCCACTGCCCTCTGCACCTCAGACGCAGGAGCCCAAAGTGAGAGGACGAGAGGGTGACTTGGTGGCTGGGCAGGGAGAGGCTGGGACTCCAGGGACAGATTCCCGGGCTGGAAGAAAAAGGTACTCGACGAGGAATGAAACATTTAATTTTTTTCCTGTGAGGAATCCAGTAGCTGTGAACCAGCCTGCTTCTTACAGAAATGCCGCACTGTCCCGGGGACCCCAGCTGGCCTTAAGGGACACCATGCTGTGCTCAGCAGCGGCTCCTGACCCCCGCAGGGTGGAGTCTACAAGGGCGTGTGGGGCCACCATTGGGTCCCTGGGGCAAAACCCAGCACAGATCCCATCTGGCTTCGGCAAGCGGGGACTGAAGCCAGGCAGGCAGTGCCTCTAGGGTGGGGGGTCACACAGGCAGCCCCAGACCTGGGGGGCCCAGGCGGCTCCATCTCGAGTGGGCTGGCACACCCCACACATGGAGGACAACTCAAGGTAGCCGCTGAGAACGAGCCCACAGTGGGGACAAGTGGAGGACGCGTTGTCTATGAGGGAGTGAGCCCCCCATCCCAGGACAGCTTCAAGTAGAGCCCAATGGTCAGGGACCTCGAGGGGGGCACACAGACAAGGGCATGACACCCCAACCCTTCCCTGGAGCCCAGGGTTTTGCTGGACTCAGTGCAAATGAGACGACAGCCAGGCTTGACGGCAGGCGTCCTGCCTGGGCGGCAGCGACCCCAGCCCCAGGACGCTCCCCTGGGGGGCTGACAGAGAGTCCGGGGGCACCGGGACGGTTTCTGACGCTGGGAGAAAGTGTTATCTTCTGTCTCCATGTGTGCCAGGACAAAATTTCTCCAAAACCTCAATCCTTAAAATCTACACCATACCAAGGGCATTTCTCCTCCTACCGTGCGCTACTTCCTTAAAAACTGAGACCGCCTCACGCTCTTTTCCCCAAGGTCTGCCCACGAGGGGAGGCAGCCGCGGCCACGCGTCTGTGGCGGGGCCCGGCGGGGAGCGGGTGCCCTGCGTGTGCACCGTGCTCTCCCCCAAGCCATGACGATGACGGAGTCAGGAAACTCCGCACAGAACAAATCGTGACTTTAAAGTAAACTGACTTTCTGAAGCTCCTTTATTATGGTTTCAAGTGCAAATAAAACCCTTTGACTAAAATGCAATTAAGCTCACTCTTAATCTAGCTCGAAGCTGGAAACTCCAGGAATTCCTGTTTCTGTGTGGCGGTCAGACCTCAGGCTTCTGGCAGCTTCTGGGCTGCGCGGCTCCGGCCCTCAGCTTCCCACCCCAGGGTGGCGCAGTGGCACCGTGGCCTTGGACGGCCGGGTCTGTCCTGGCCCCCAAATCCCTGAACCCACAATCAACCCGGCGGGTGGGGGGGAGAAAAGGCTTTGACTGGGAGATTCTGCCTCAGGTTGGTGATACTGGAAAATGAGGCAGAGCGGCCGAGACCTGCCTCTGCCGAACCAGACCCCCAGGATGAAAATGTACAGGTGCCCTCTGCGTGGACGCACCTGCCCAGGGCCATGCAGCAGACGTGGTCACGGCCAGCTCAAGCCCACTCTCTGCTTGAACCAGACTTGCACTGACCTGGTGTGAAGCACACGAGAGCCCAGGCAGGGCCACTGCCCAGGAAGACCCTGGCATGGGGCCGGGTCTCTGGGTCTCAGCTCTGCCACCCCACTCAGGGCCTGCTTCTGGGGTAGAAGCCAGGCCCGTCCCTACCAGCCACCCCACCCTCATCTCTGCTGTATGGCGCCTACATGTGGGGCTGGAGGGAAGCAACGTACAGTCTTACAGCCTGTGCCAACCCCGGAGTGCGTCGCCTCTCGGGGCCTCCTTGCCTGGTGACGCAGAGGGGAGGTGGGAAGGAAATAAACGAAACCACCACGCTGGGTTCAGCTGGAACAAGCGACCACGAAGCTGCAGATCTGGTGACCAGCGGCTAGGGCGCGTGGCCAGCCCTGAGGGTGTGTCTGCCCAGCGGGTAGGCCCTGCTCCCTGGGTCGCCCCGACTCGGTGGGCACAGACCCGCAGGACGTCAGCAGAGCCGGCTCCGCCAAGCTCCGGGGCCACCCGGACGGGTCAGAGAGGGCCCGGCCAGCTCCCTGCCCGCGGCCCGCTGCCCGGCCACGTACTTTGACGGTGCTGAGGTCCATGGGGTGTTTGATGATGTCGTGGTAGTCGTGCAGCTCCAGGGCCTCGGCGTCCACCGGCTTGTAGAAGGGCCAGGCGTAGGCAGCGTGTTTTTTGGACAGCATCTCCCGGAGGATGCTGTCGCAGTACCGCAGGTGTTCCGACAGCTTGCCCTTCTTGCCCGCGTGCTGGGGCACCTCGCTGTCCTCCAGGTCCTTCTTGGGGGGCTTGATGGGGCGGCCCCCACTCTCCCGCCGGGCCACGACCTTGGCCTGCTTGGGGTCCGACAGAGGCGGGGGCGACTCGCTCCGGCTCGCGGTGATGGCGGACGTCGTGGGAGTGGTCGTGTCTGCTTTCCGCTTGACGCCCTTTTTCTGCAACAGGAGAGGAGCAGTGAGCACCCGGAGCCGGGACCCGCCCGTGGAAAGGGGCGTCGCCACAGCTGCGCTTGTGCAGCGCGACTCCCTGCCGGGCGCAGACCGGGTGACCCCATGCAAGGCCTCCTTCATCCTCCCAGCTGCCCCCGCAGCAGAGCACACAGGGCTCACAGGCCGTGGCACTGGCCCAAGGTCACACAGCTGGCAGTGGTGAGACGGGGACTCTGAGACCCGCCCTCGCCTGAGCATGGGGGTGGCACCTCTCTCCCTTGGCCGTGAGGGCTCGGCGGTCCTGGGTGGGCTCGCGCATCACACCCAGAACCACGGAGGTGCTGCATGCAACTCACCCGAAGCCTAACCAGCCCCCCAGGCCAGGACCCGGGACGCGGGGGCCGCAGAGACCCGGGGGACATTCCCTGCTCACAGCCCAGCGGGAATCCCGGGTGAGGGCCTCAGAGCTGGGGCTCCGAGGACAAACACAAGTTGCGCAGGATGGGGGAGGCAGGACAGCATTCCGGGGCAGGGGCAGCCCGCCAGGAGACATGAAGCAGGCACAGCAGGTTTGGGACCAAGGGACTCCGGGGACCACGAGTGAGTGGGCGAGTCTGGACTCTACCATGAAGGAACTGGGAGCCGCGGGGGCTATTCCAAGCAGGGGGAGGGGTGAGAGGACCCCCAGAGCCTTCCGTGGGAGTGTCCTGGGGGCAGAGCTGGGCACCAGGCAGATACGCACAGCGTGCGCCAAGTGAGGGAGGGCGTGTTTGATGTTCAGGCATCCCGTGGGTGTGCGGGGCTCTCTGGGAAGCCTGCAGGGCCCCAGGGCCAGGGCTCGCCCCATCCCTGAGACCAGCTCAGCCGGCTTTTCCTCATCTCAGCTCGGCAGGCAGAGGAGCCAGCAGGAGCCGCACACTCCCCGCCCACGGGGACCTGCTGTCTAGAGCCACTCACGGCCATAGCCCCAGCTGAGCCGCTGCCCTCAGGCTGCCAGGGACAGGCGCCGGCTACCCACAAACATTTAACAGGCACCCACGGGATGCCAAGCGCCAAGCGCGTGCCGCAGAGGGCAGGGGCGGGCTAGTCGGGCCGTGGCAAATGGGACATGCTCCACGAACAGCCCTGCGCTGCGGGAGGCGCTTGGCCAGGCACCGCCCGGAGGTGCAGGCGGTGGAGGCCACGGGGAGGGGAGCAGGGAGCGGCATTTTACCTTGGGCGAGCCATTTAACCCCTCTGGGCGCCCGCTTCCTCATCTGTAAGATGGGGGAAATACTGCCTGCCCCAGAGGGCCGCTGTGAGGATCAAATTGAAGAAGATAACACACGTGAGTGCCGGGCAGGGGCCCTGCCCACGCTGAGACCGGCAGGCCCCGCAGGGAGCGCCCGCTGTGAGAAGCCCCTAGCCAAGCGGGGAGCTGGCGCCTCGTGACGACGCACTGCCAGGGCACAGCTGGGCACCCCGCTCCCGAGTGAGCAGAAGGAAGGGGCCCCTCCCGCACTTGCTTCTCTCCCCACCTTCCCCATCTCGCCCGCCGGGCTGCAAAGGCCAGAGAAGGGGGGTTTGAGTCCAGCCCAGCCCTCACCAGCTGTGCGACCTTCAGCGCCCCACGCCAGGAACAGCGGCCTGACCTCCCCGGCGCAGGTGAGCCCCTCTGAATGGCTGGCGCTCCGAGAAGGGTGGCCGAGCTCGCTGCCTGTCCACTCCTGCCCCAAACTCAGGAACCCTGGCCAGCCTCGGACCCCAGCCAACCTTGGGTGCCTATCAGCCCCTGCGGCCTGGGGTGCTCACCTTGATGACGGGTGGCGTGGGAGGGACCACAGGGACGATGGGTGTCGTGGGTGGAGGTGGGGCGGCTGCTGGGGGGACGGGCACCGACGTGACATTTGCAGTGATGGTTGGAACAGGGGTGGCAGCAATGACGGGCGTCTGGGAGACGGTAGGGGGCACATTCTGAAAGGGGGTCGCCGGGGAGACAGAGGACACGGCCGCTACTTGCTGCGTACCTTCGAGACAAGGAAAGGGGGTTCAGCATGGTGGGCTCTGCTAGTATTTCCAGAAGCTTCCAGAAGCACACCCTGCAGCCAGAGCATACCAGGGGCCAGCTGGGATGGGCCAGACCCCTGGCCAGAAGAGTCCCGGGTCCTGAGACCCCTGGTCCTGCACCTTGGGGGTAGGGGCCAGTCCAGCGCATCTTGCCCAAGTGCTTGCTGCATGAATCAGAGGACCCTCTGGCCACAGACCAGAAGAGGAGAACGAGGGAACCAGGACAGGCCCCCTCACCTGGCAGTTAGGAGCCAGCCCTGGGGTCCGAGAAACTTGGGACTGAACTCGGATTCTATTAAACTCACTGAGTGACTGAGCACAGACCCTCCTTAACCACCTAGCTATTCCCAGATGCAGCACTGGACAGCCCGTGCACTGACACGCCTCTACCGCGGTTCCAGGACTCACAGTGCTGATCCCCGCCGCTGCGCTCCCCGATGGGGAGACGCTGGCATACCAGACCCGGGGCCACGGCAGGCCCCGGAGGAAGCAGAGACATAGGGGACAAAGGCCACAGGCTGCATGGAGAGGGAGCCTCAGGGCTGGGGCTGGAAAGGAAGCAGGACCCAGGAGGTAGAGAACAGGGACATGGGGTCTTCCCAGACCACAAGCTCCTCTCCAGAGCAGGTCCTCCTTAACTCAGGCCACCTGCCCAACACCACCCAAGGCCACACAGCCAAGATTGGCGCCGCCGGCTCAGCACGCCTGCCCGCCTGACGTGCGAGGGGCAGAGGCCCACACCCTCCAACCGGCGCCTGCCTTTACCTGCACTCTGGGTTCCTGCAGCCGGTTTCCGGCCTTTGCCCTTAGGAGCAGGGGGTAATAATTCAACTTCTTCCTGCGGCATCTGGGCCACTTTTTGCAGAAAAATTTTCTCTAAGGCTTGGGCCATTAGCACTATGTCATCTGTGGGCTGAAGACAGAGAGAGCCCGGTCACTGTCGGGAGGGGGCTGAGCACGCGCAAAAGGCGTAGCGGCCTGTGGCTCGAGAAGACACTTATTTAAAATTTGTTAAGAGATCCGGTGGAGCAGGAGGGGCCGCGTGCATCAATTGCCACGTGGAAAATCTTGAATGGCAGAAAAGCGTGAAAGATAAAACTCAACCTTCGTCCCGTCAGATGGAGAAAAAGAGCCTCAACAGCTCGGCGTGCCGATGCATCTCTGCTCTGTTCGCGTCACTGTCGCCAGAGCAAACCCCCCACAAGCCATGCAGCTTCCCCGACCCGTTCTTCTCCCTGAACACCGTTCCGCAGACGGCGGCCCTTGTCACGGGGCGTCTGCGTCATTTTGGGCGGATGCACGTGGAAACCGCAATTTACTCGGCCAATCTCCTACTGACGTGCGTGTAGGGGCTCTATCCTCCCACACCCCCAGACCCGCACTGCATTCCTTAGAACTGCGCAGGGTAGAACGTCTAGGTCTGCGGGTGAGGACGCGTCAGAGCGTTTGGCGTCCATCGTCCACCTCCGAAAGGCCGCTGCGGGCTCCACTCCCCGCAGCGGGATCTGGGCGGCTCATGGGCATCGTGGACCACGACCAGCGGACACCACGCCGAGGGAGTAATGGGCTCTGGGCTGACTGAGAGCTGGGCCAGGCGCTCAGCCCACCCGGCACTGGCCGAGACTGCCCGGGGACCCTGAGGTGCAGAGCCCGGGTCCGCACTGTGCGCGTCTTACCTTGTTATAAATGTAACAATTTGTAAACATGGTGTTGAAGTCCTGCATGCATTCGCTGGCACTCCAATAATAATTATTTTCTAATCTCTTCTTAATTGTCCCCATATCCATTGGGTTTTTAATTATTTTATGATAGTCCTAGGAAAGAGATTTTCAAAGGCATTACACGATTATTGTTACAATTCCCAAGACACAGCATGGTCTTCCCAAGTGAGCCGGGGACCGGAGCTGCCCAGAGGCAGTTTCTGGGCATCTGGCGGCAGGTGGGCTGCAGCCGGGGGGAAGCCCTTGGCCCGATGCAAACTCCTGCCCGACCTCTGTCCTGCTCCCGGCCCGTGTGAAGGGGAGAACTGTGGAGTGGGGACAGACCCTGGGCTGGTCTACATGCCAGAGATACGCGGATTCTGAACCTGCATGCAGGTGACCAGCCACCAAGCAGGGCCCACAACCAGGCCACCAAGTGCTGGCCAGGGCTTTCCCTGCAACACTTGGGGAAAGTGGGCCTTAAGGTACACCTGCGCCTGGCTTCGAGCAGGTGGGACAGACTGGCAAATGGGTCATTCTGCAGGACGGTGCACGACCACAGTCAGACTACAGCAGGACAGAATGAAGACTGGGGGCCTTCTGGCCCAGAGGCCCCACCACCGTCTGCCCCTGCCCTTGCCCTGGAGGCACACGGGGTCTCCCCATTTCTACCCTCCCACGCCCAAGTCGCCCCGTTAGCAGCTCCTGCCCACTGGGCACCACCCGGGCCAGGGCCAGGGGCAGCAGGCAGCAGCGGAGGACGGCGGGGGCCGCTCACCGGCAGGTTCAGCTTGATCGCATCCACGGGCTGGTAGAAGGGCCAGGCGAACTGGTGTTTCCAGAGCGTCTTCACCACCACGTTCTGCATGTACTGCAGCTGGTTGGTCTTGCGGCCGGGCTTGCTGGGGTTGGAGACCTCCGGGGGGGGCGGGTTCACAGGGCCCGGGGCCACCGGGATCCCCGCAGGGGCGACAGTCGTGGTGGTGGACATCCTCTGGCAGCTTGCTCACTTCCCGCCACGGCAACGGCTCAGAGAGGCCCCCCGTCTTCCACGCTCCCCGATGAGGCGCGACGTGCCATTTCTGGACCCGACCAGGCGACGCCTGCAGGGTTAGGGGAGAGAGTCTGTCACTTCTGGGCCCCCGCCACCCCAGTGGGCTCTCCGGGGCACCCATCCCGTTGCCTCCCACCACCCAGACGTGTAGCCGTCCAAAAAGCTGCCCAAATTGACGGTCACCTGGCTCGGGAGGACTCTCCAACCACTGCTCTCTCCACCCGGGAGGAAGAGGCGGGCGGAGGGGCGTAACTCAGGTACCTGCTCCCGGCTGGAGGCGAGTGTGCCAGGGGCTTGGTCACCCTCGGCTCCCTAGCCACCAACCACCGCTTGTGGGGGCCGACTGGCTTCCACTGGACCGTCCACTATTCTTGGCCGTGGCCACCGTGTGGAGAACAGTCCACGCCCAGAGAGCTACAACACGGACCTGACAGCCAGGGCAGCAGGGCCGGCAGCAGCCTGGGCGCTCACAGACCCTCACTCAGCGCCGGAGCCGGGGGCCGCGGGTGAGGTTCTGCCGTAACCAGGAGACGAGCCTGGGTTTGTGACGGTGGCACGGCTGTGACCCGGCCTGGCCTTGGCCAATCACGAGGGCAAGCGTGGCTCTGACCCTGCTGACCTACACCTCGCCCAGCCCCGGCCCGGCTTCCCTGGCCACGCGCAGCACTGGCGGGAGGGCACCACAGCCCCGAGTGTCACCAGAAGAGCTGGGACAGTCCAGAGTGCCCAGAGGGTCACTGCGCGGTAGAAGAATGCACAGGCCTCCCCCCAGCACCCAAACCCCGAGCTCTCTTCCGAGGAGGAAGCCGGATGGCGTGTGCACGCCACGCGGCCCCGTCTCTGCCTGGACAGGTGCGACACTCCGGCAGCCTTAACTCTGGGTGGCCAGGAGGTCCCCTCCATCCGAGTACTTTGCTACCATTTAGGTCATCCCGCGTACTTGTGGGACACTCAGACGGGCCAGGGCTGGGGGCTCCCCACGCAGCACAGGCAGCTGCAGCCGTGGGAACGAGCCACCTGCAGGTCTCGCGGGGCAGACGTGCGCGAACTGGTCAACGTGCCGCTGGGCACACTCCCACCAGCGACTGGCAAACACCCAAGCACAGGCTGTTAAGCGCTCACCAGCGTCTGCTCTCTGCACGCTGCTTTCTCATGCTCGCTCGAGCACTCTTGGACACCAGGCTCCCACCCGTGCCCAGCCATGGTCCTGGGGAGCCCACCTGGTGCCAGAGCCCTCGCTGGGAGGGCAGCGATGCCCACGCCTGCCCCTTCACCACCGGGCAGAAGCCCACGGGAGTCATCCAAGCGCCGCTCTTCCCACCGCCAGAGCCTGGCATCTTCCACCCTCACCACCACCCCTGCCGGTCTCCCTGCCCTGCCCTTCCCGGATGGGCGCAGCCCATGCGGCAGTGGTGTCCCGTGAAAGCAAAGCTGGACCAAGTCAGTCATCGCCTGGAACCCCCAGGGGTCTCCCTCTGACCCAGCGTGAGAGCCGACGGGGCCGAGGCCCAGACAGCGGGAGGCTCCTGCCCTCCCGAGGCCTCCAGGAATCCCCGGAATCCCCTTCCCTCGGGGACCCCGGCAGACAGGGCTGCAGAGCTGGAGCCAGGCCAGTGCCCAGGTCCCTGCCACTCACCAGCCACGCGCCGGCTACTCGGCCTGGTCCCCTCATTTCCCCACGCGGCTCTCTGAGGTTGCAGGAGGCACACACGGGGCGCTCAGGCCAACGCCAGACAGACACCAAGTACCACACAGCCCTGCTGTGACGGCAGTGGTTGGCTCCAACAGAAGGCCCCTGCTGGCCCCTGCCACCTCCTGGGGCCTAGGGGTTGCCTAGGGGTCGGCTCTCAGGATTCGGTCTGGGGGTGTCGGGGTGGATGCCCAGAACCTAACACTGCTGCTGCACAGGCCCTGGGAGTTAGGAAACGGGGCAGAGACTGAGCTGGGGGGCACCGTGGCATAGGGGAGGGGTCCCAGGCTGCAGGCCAGCCTCCCCATGCGTGAGGACAGGTGGTCACCATGCAACGCAGGCACCCGCTTACGCTGTGCTGGGACCCAAGGCCTGGTGCAGACCAGGCCCTCCAAGCCACCTTCTCCCAACCACTGTCCCCAAACCTGCGGCCGAGGAGGCAGCCAGCTGCACCACGAAGGCCGGAGTGCACGCCCTGCGCTGGGCGGGCAGCCTAGCTCAGCGATGGATGGAGCAGTACCCTGGGCTCGCCGGAACCAGCCCACCGATGCCCGGCCCGGAGCCCTCTTGGTGCTGCAGGGGAAACCCAGATGACGTGATGAAAGCTCCGAGTGCCCCATCAGGTGCCCACATGCTCCCCGGATACCAGGGGTCACTACAGGCCATGGTGGCCTGGGGGCACGTCCCACCTCCAGCTCCAACACCCAGTGAGATGCCACTGACCCCCACAAGACCTGTGGTGCTCAGAGGGGCCTGTGCAGAAGCCTGGCACACAGGGGCAGGTGGGTGCCCCACAAGCCTGGCGCTGTGCGTGGCGGTCCAGCCTCCCCTCCCCTGAGAACATAAATGCTGCCCTCAACGCCGCCATGGGAAGCACTCAGATCCCTGCAAAAACTTCAGGACGACCCACGGGTAGTGGTGAGCTGCCTGCGCTGCCCCCAAGAAGCCCTCCCCGAGAAGCGGAGCCACCAGGCAGCCTGGCACCAGCTTGGCGGGGGGAGGGAAGGGCATCCACACGCAAAGGGTTGGGGTCCGCTCGATCTCCTCCCACTAACGGGTGCTGGGACCCCCTTCCTGGGAAGGCCCCACCGGCAGGGAGGAGACCAGCAGGTGACAGTTGGGTGAGAGCTCACCGCGCCGTCCCATCTGGCCCAGAGCTGGTCCTGCCCCCAAAGTGTGGTGGGACAGGTGCGTCCTGAGCTGGTGAGAGCCACAGTGGAGCCTGGCTCCGCCTCTGCCCTCGACGTGCAGGTCCGAGACAGCAGAGGACGTCTGTGCAGGGGAGCCCCACGTGGACGCTGGCAAGGACGAGGGAGACCCGCCAACTGTGATAAAAAACCTCCCCGGGGGCGGCAGAAACGAGGGGGCAGGCCCCAGATTGGAAGGCAACAGAGGCTTCCAGGAAGAAATGACAACTGAAACATAGACTGCCAGCCGGCCACCGAAAACCAGTGACAAAGGCAGAGATCGATGTGGGGGTCCCAAACAGGATGAGGGTAGCGGCGCGGGACCCAACACCAGCCCCCGGAGCACCCTGCAGGTGGGTGGTCAGCTGGGGTCACAGGCCCTTCGCCTCACTGAAGACCTCGCGCGGCCCTCAGGACACCCACGAGGTCAGAAGGACCCCGCCCACCGTGCAGGTGACAAGGCTGAGGCCCTCTCCACATGTGCTCCCGGAGCCACCCTGTGCTCAGGCACGTAGAGCACTCGCGGTGTCCGGTGGGGCCCCGTCCCATCCTAGGCTCGAATGACAGGCGAGCACGGGGTGAGAGGACCCCAGGCTTCCTGCTTCCCCCACCAGCCAGCAAGGACACAGGGCCGCCAGCACCAGGGACCAGCCAGGAAGTGGCCGCTGGCCACTGCGCCCCTCCCAGACCCCGAGTCTAATGGAGTTTCAGAGAGTGCAGGTCACGGGTACAGCACACCAGCCAGGGGGCCCTGCAGAAAGACAGACCGCGAGGGTCGCCCGGAGGTCCTGCCACGCCGGGGCTCAGGCCTGACCCCTTTCTGTAAAATGAGGAGACAGGTGCTGCTGACAGGTGTCCCAGGTCCCCTGTGCCACGTTTCACACAAGGACATTTTAGGGGCTGGGGGGAAAGGAGGTGCCCCTCATCCCTAAGTCATCTGGGGGCTGCAGCAAAGGGATATGGACCCCGAGTCACCCAGGGGCACCATGTGGGCAAATCACATTTGGGAGTGAATCTGGCACATGGAAACCATCGGCATGCGTCTGCTCCAAACTAGCACGCCTTCCACTTCTCCCAGCTTCCGGAGAGAAAGACGGCATCACGTGCGCGGGTCTGAAGCCAAGGTGGGCGCTTGGGCCAGCTCGCTCGCGACGCCCGCTGGGGGATGAACGGAGGGTGCTGGCTTCAACACTGACCCAGCAATTTCAGAATCAGTGTTAACGCTGCGAGGGTGATAATTCTGAAGAACTCCTTGTCCTTCAGAGCTCTGTACTCAAAGTTCTACGAATGAGATACGTCTGGAGTTCGCTTCACGATAATGGAGGCTGGCGGCGAGCGGCGGGTGGGGGAGGCGGAGCACAGGCCGTGCGGCGCCCGCTCCTGCCCACAGGAGGAAGAGGCACACCCCTTCCGCGCCCCCCGGTGTCCTGTGCTGCCCACCCCCATCTTCACCTGCCAGGGACAGGGGCGAGAGGAGCCCAGGGAGAAGCCAGGACAGGGCTGGGGGACGGACTCAGGTGGAATGACGCACTGAGGGCAGGGGACGCCGCAGGGTGGGCAGTGGAGGGGAGTCTGGTCTCCTGGGGATAAACACCTGCTCCGTTGGCTCCACCCTGTCCACTCTGGGGCCCCCACCATCTGGGCGGTGCGGCCGCAGTCACCTCCCTCAGCACCCCCACCCCAGCACGGAAGGGGCTCACCGCGCAGTCCCGCAGCAGCCTGGAAAGCTCTCTGCGCAGACAACGCCCCTGGTGGGCAGCGGCATGAGACACGGAGAGCCTGCCCCGGGGAAGCTGGATGTGCCCCTGCCACTTGGCAGGTGCCCGCTCTGTGCTGAGCAGAGCACAGCGGGGCAGGGGCAGAGAGCCCTGTTTCAACCAGGGGAAAGAGGAGGCTCAGAGACAGCCCCTGCCCCCCGCCCCCTGCTCAGTCTCCTGCTCAGCTGCCCACAGAGCCCTGCGGGGCGCACAGGTGCCGCTGGCTGGGCTTGGCCATGCAAACCGGGGGGAAAGGCGGAGTGGAGAGGCAGCCTGCCTTTGACATAAGAGGATCCAAAACTGCCCAGA